AGCTAGCACATGCCGGGTCGATTTCTCTAGTCATATTTTCTCCGCCTACAATGCGGTACCGTCTATTATTCTTATATATCTTGATATTCGCAAGGCGCTGGACCAAGTTACCCTCGGTGCACTCCTCAAATAATGACGATCTACGGGATTCGTGGCCCGGTACTGCGATGGTTCACTTCTTGCCTCCCTGGGAGAACCCAGGCCACCAAAATCGGGAATCAATCCTCTTCCCCCCTTCCCAATACCAGTGGAGCTGTTCAGGGAAGTGTGCTTTGCGCTCTACTGTCTTTACTATGCGTTAATGATGTCACCGACTCGATCACTCATGGATCCACTCTTCTGTTCGCTGGTAAGGTTTGGATGGCCTACAAGTTTAAGGCCAGTGAATCTGTTCCTACCCTTGCACACATTAAGTCTGACCTGCATCCTTCATCACTCTGGTCCTCCAACTCCTAGGCCTTCTGCATCGCCCAATCTACCAGCGGGCTTACCAAGCTGACTGCTGTCCAAAATTTTCTTTCTGTACTCTGTATAATATCCATAACTCCGGATGTTCACTCTCAGTATCGACATGTCGAACTGTCTTTAGGAAAAACGTTTCCTTTATCTGTATTCTTAGCCGTGGAACAAGCTCTCCTACCATATCCGTACTACCTAATCTCATGTAGGGCTTCGAATGGCCACCGATTCTTACTTTTCTATTGAGAAAGCTGAGCGACTTTTAGCGCCTCAGCTTACACTGACACTTCTTGAAATAGGCCCTAAGGCCTTCTGAACTGCCCACTCACCTGGTTGCCATGTTACTAGGTCCTGGCATTTACGCTCACCAGCCTGAACCCTTAGCATCAAACCAGAAGTGCGACAACCACCATCCAAAGTGTTCTTGTCTATAACGTACCACTTTATATCTCTTACACAGACGTTCACTTATTTTGGCTACAATTTCTTCCGCTGCCTGAAGCGCAGTTTAGTTGCAGAGATTGTCTGGCGCGAGTCATCGTAATTGTCGTCAGCCCATCTCCAACTGACCTGGTTGTATTTCACGATCTCAAGCGTTTGTATCCAGCCAAATTATTCCTAGCTCTTCAAGCCTGGTCCCAACCCTGAGTAATTCTGTGAGCCCTATTTAATGTCCGGTGCTTTGCTTTGACTGGATTTAACTAAATTTAGTCTAACTGAAGCATTAGTCCCTCGCTTACTGAATCATTTTGCATCCCCGGAACACGCGCGGCGCACGCATATCGAATGGTGGATCTGAAGATGCGCTATGAATGGAATACATATTTGGTTCCACAGCCCCCTCATTCACACACACAACACTTGTGCGCCTCTACTTGACAAGGCGGTTCACACCAATGACCCGACTTTGTATAGCCAAAGTGCACATCTCAACATCTGAACATCTCCATCCTACGCCCACAGCCCAAAAGTTTGTTGACGTTTCATTCGTCTCCACGAATTGCCTTTTCCAGCGGCTCATTGCTGTTTGCTTGTTCGAAATGACTGAGCTGTTTTACTGCCTAGCTTTCCCACCGACCGGATAAAATACCTGGTAGCTGGAGTTATTTGTTAATGCCCAAACCACAATTATGGCTGTTCGGTGGCTTGTCACCCTGCAGATCTGGTAGCACGCACGAGGGATGAAAATCAGGTGTGGTGGACGGGTACACCCCGCAGGGAGGGTCGCCCTTTTGCGATGCACCATGGTGCGTTCGTTTACTAACTAGCCCTCCAGTAGCACGGGTGTATCTCCCATCGCCGGTGGTTCTGAGCCTGACCTTAAGTTGAGGAAAACCAAAATAGTGGACCGTTGCTGTTTGTCTGTAGCTGGTTTGGAATTGTTCCGGTTGTCACTTGTCTCGCAACACGGAGAAATGCAAGCTGATGACAACTGTGCATTCGTTTCCTTAAAAAATATATGCATGGGGTAGCCTGAAGGTACTGTGTAGGGCTCGCGGCTAACGTCAACGTGCAAGGAGTTGCCACTTTCGTCTTAGTTGGGTCACACCACCCCAAGACCACTTTATCATCCAAACATAGCACACACTTTCTTTCCTCTTGTGATCTAGAGCGGTCATGTGCACAAAATGCTAATAACTTAACGTTTTTTGTCTACAAGCAATCACAGCTAGCACATACCGACTGTTTTATTTTTCTATGAACCATTGGTTTCCTGGAGTTGACAGCAGTGACTCGGCGGCTGGGGATCCTTAATCTTGCTTTCCTGTTAGGTTGACGTAGTAGATCTCATTTAAGCTGCTATTCCTATCAATTATCTGGGAAGCTGTTGCTTTTCCGCTTCTTACCCGTCTACTGGCAGTGCTCACCCCTCCTTCTGCACAAAAAGGACCCTATATCATTACGCTTTGCTGAGCCAAAATCTCCCGCTCGTTCTCAACCAGTTCAACAGCTAGCCTCCGTGCTAGCTACCTTGACGACAATGTTCTCACCTTCCCAAAACTAGGCACTTACTCTGGCCCAACCAGTACTTGGTTTATAGATCAGCAAACGTATCCACCATCCCTGGGTCCATTTCGCTTGCGGTCATCCCATTTTAGATTTTTCCATTGACGCCGTTGTATCTTATGCATTCTGACACCCCCACACGCTACTGCTTTCATTGCCCCCCTGCCCAAGCTTCAAACCTCGATAGCAGACGGGCCGTAGAACTGTTATTCATTCAAACTGGCTTGTCCCCGGTCTACATTCACAAGGCCCTCCAACGAAAGTGAAATTATTCGTGACCCCGCATCCGCCTGATTCTGCGTCAATCTCCGTCTCACCCGGAACTAGATGCCACAGAAGTGCGTATTCCCTCCCGGATCGCCACATCCTTGATGACCGTTAAGGGGCTGTTCGTAAACGGAAGCACTTCAGTGCGATGATGGCATGGCACCGTCATACACAGTAAGATGGGACTCATGCAACTGTTTTCTTCAGCATCTCGACCGCCAACCTCGACCACTTGAGCATGTAGTCACTACTGTGAGCATGCTTTCCTTCCGGCCACGTCTCTTGGGCAAGTTTTTTCGTACCCGATGAATCTTCGCACAAATAAGGCTAGCGCGGTTTTTCTACTAAGATTTCGGCTTTCCTCTTGCACAGGTTAGAATCCGTATACAGTGTACGGTTCGCCCTATGTATTAGCACCATGCCCTCTTCCAACCTATCCCCTGCACCCGATTTCCCCACAACAGCGAAACCAGTGGGTCTGCTTAGTTGGAGATTCAATCACATTTTAGGCAAAACTCGCCATGTGCTCCGAATTCGAATTATTCCATCTCCATCTCCCATTTTGCTCGTTGTGACTCCGGCCATTTACCCGAGCGCCCATGGTCACGCATGGACAGCAATGGTTTTCATTTATAGTCCATGCCAGCTGGCTATGTCTTTGAACTAGTCGGAACTCATGCCCATTGTTCCCAACAAGTTGAGAAAGATACCCATAATAATTGTTTCACCGGATATTCCACACTTTCTTTTCTTCGTGCGATCCGCACCCACACAAACCCCGCAGTCATGCTTCATTCTGACTGTAAACATATGATCATGCTAGACTTTATGCCATCCACTAGTTGGGAATGAACAGCATTGTTATTATTATGCGTTCATTAGAGCAATCTGAGGTGTCTGAATAATGTGTCCGTATGCCAGTCTACTACGTGCCAAGACCAGCGCTTTTTTGTTGCCATATTGGGTTGCAGCAATAGTATGCGATCGAAGGTTGCAATTGATGGCGCCCACCTTCTAGGATGGAGTTAGCGTGAACGTCCACATGTTTGACTAGGGGTAATGGAACATGTACCAGCCATCCAATGTCATTGGGGTGCATACAATAGGTTTCTATGTACTTTGTCTGCCAGAGTGTTGAAAGCATTGGCCCACCGGATTTTCATGCAAGGGTGGACCCAGGTCGCCCTTCCTGTCAAATGTATATTCTTTCGATCATAAGGTCTTCAAATAAATTGCCCTAGAACTTGCTTCCCCCGGTGCAGCTGTTAATGACGGGCTGATGACCGGATGGTTGTAGAATGAGGTGACCAAATTCGGAAGCGCGAGCCGTACGCATCTGGGCAGTTTCCTCAGACCAAGAGACTGTGCCATCGGAGATCCGTGTTTTAAATGATGCGACGGAAGTCCGCATCGCTGTTGTTGTTGCATGGATTTGCCTAGATGGTGACGCAAGTTCTAGAAGGAAAATGGTTGAGATTTTGGAGTAACACTCCTGCGCTGAGCTGCGTAGCAAGTGCATCCAACAGTTGAAAACGACTTTCGTCGTTTGATATCCATCACGAGTGAAGAGCCATTTCCAGAGGCAGGGCAAAGGCTTAGCTTAACGCCCCCACGGATGTGGTCTGAAACGTGATGTTTATTAAGGATTTCTTAGGTTTTGGAAGCATATTCCATGATTGATCGGAAAGGAAAGGATCGGCCCTGCAACCGGGCTCATTAGAAACATAATGCTCTTTGTTTCAAAACCTTTGCGATTGATAAAAAACTTTCGTACCAAAATGTCAAATTTGGTTGCGTATGTAATCTCACCAAAAATTATCTCAATTTTCTTTCAGATTTTTGCTGCTCACCGAATTTCATTGTCAGCTGAAGCAGTTATGCCGCTGGCGGGAACACTGATGGAATATTTTCCCAAAATCGTTGAGACCTCGGGGCACCTAGAGGGGACTCAGAAACTTTGATCAGTACTCTGGAAACAATGACCTGCCCCTTTTAGTTCATCGGGAAAGCGCCGTATTTTTCGAAAATTCACTACAGTTGTGCGAATACTGAACGCCCTATCCCACGCCAGCGGCTAGACGCACAATGTATTTTTCTGCAAAACGCCTGCGGACGAAATAAAAACTTTAACGTGAAAATGTTGCACTTCTTTGCATATATGCGTAGGCTGAAAACCCCCCTCATCTGCCGTTATTTTTTTGCGATTTGTTTTAATCGATTTCATTTGAAAATTATTGGCGGACATTCCGCTTTGAACTTCGTCTGCTATGGCTTCGGAAGTGGCTTTCGTTGAGAAATTTGTGGGTGTATCGTTTTCATCCTTCACGGCATTTGAGATGACCTTAAATCAATACATGAAGGATAACTTTGTGATATTTGTGCGTTCATCTAGTAATTGAAGCGCCAACACTATCTTGCGTTACGAATGGGTGTACTACAAATGCAGCAGGCGCCCTCCAAGAAAAACGGAAAGCCGTGGAATCCGAAGAAGCTAGTAAG